CTTGATAAATGACGTTTTACAAATGAGTGACAAATAATAGTTATTTACCTAACAAATGCGGAAAGTGATACTTTACCGCACGCAACGGCAGTTGACCGAACGACGCGAAGCGGAGTTCGGTCAAGCCGTTAAGGGCGGTAAGGGCACTTTTCGCATGTGTTAGGTACAAAATTTTACCTATGAGCATCTACATCTCCAAAAAAGGGCATTGGTAAAATTAATTATTGAATCAGATTAATTAATGAAATTAGATTAGATTTGGAAATTATCAAAAATCCAGTTACTGAAAAAAAAGGATTTTTGATTATAAATATCACTTTCTACTTTACCGCACACTATGCGGTAAAGTGCACTTTACCGCACACTTTGTAGTCCACTTTACCGCATACTATGCTGTAAAGTTAACTTTACCGCACACTATGCTGTAAAGTTAACTTTACCGCACACTATGCTGTAAAGTTAACTTTACCGCATAGTGTGCGGTAAAGTGCTACTTTCCATTTGCAAATACGTGCGGTAAAGTGCACTTTACCGCACGCTCGTAGGTAATAGTTATTTTCCTAACAAGTGCGCAAAGTGTTACTTTTCCGCACGCAAACACAGTTATACGAACGACGCGAAGCGGAGTTCGGATACGTGTTTGCGTGCGGAAAAGACACTTTGCGCACGTGTTAGGAACAAAATTTTTCCTACGAGCTTCATATCAGGTAGGTAACAACAAAAATTTAAAAAAAAAACGATAATTTGTTTAATTATTTTTAATTAACTTGAAGGGAACCTATGCATTTATCAAAAAATTACATAACAAAAAAAAAATATAACAGAAAATCATCGTCAGAGCTCTTCATCTTAAAGCGTTTAATGGCGATTTCCATTTGTCATCAGTGCCGCACTGAGTGCATCCGCATCTTTTTCTAAAAGCATGTAACATGTAAGGATAAGGATACATTTTTTTGCCCTGTTTCGACAAATGGAAAATGCTATAAATTTGATGAGAAAGTTTGTAGATGCATATATATAGAAAACAAATCTGACAATGTGTTGAAGTTAATTAAATTTGGTGTTTGTAGGTATAGATGTTAGCTGGAACAGGAACAGAGGAAAAATTTGTCATCATGTGTCAAAGTCGACAGGTGTACTTATTGTTGCTTGACAATTATTTTTACTTTTCGGCACTCAGTGCGGATAAGGCCTGTATCCGCACTGAGTGCGGAAAAGTGCAACTTTGAGAACCGAAATGCGTGCGGAAAAGTACTACTTTGCGCACGCTCGTAGGAAATAGCTATTTACCTAACAAGTGCGGAAAAATATTTTCCGCAAGTGTTAGGTACAATATTTTTCCTACAGGCGAAAAAATGTAAAATTTTTCTTTTTTTTTTGACATATCAGTGCGGTAAAATTTTTTCCGCACTGACAGCCGTGCGGAAAAACTTTTTCCGCACTGATATGTCAAAAAAAAAAGTTTTACCGCACCGTGCGGGAAAACTCATTTTCCGCACGCATATCAGTGCGGAAAATCGATTTTTCCGCACGGCTGTAGGAAAAAAATTTTACATTGGGTTACCTTGTAAAACTCACCTTATTGATTTGAAATTAAAAGTTAAATTAACCTAAAGGTTAATGAATCCACAATATATTATATCGATCAGTAGGTACTCGAAATAAAGGAAATAAATTTATAATAATTATAATAATGCATAATTATTAGATACCGTAAAGTCCCCTAACTTTGACTGTTTCCCTAACATTGACCAAAATATCATTAACTGATATAATACACCTTAAAAAACTGTGAATGTATATTGTTGGCGATTTCTACCTACAAACAGTTAGTCTAATGTCTAATAACTGGCACTGTGTTGCGGAATGCATGTTCAGTTAAAAATCAGATGCACAATAAACTTTGACCGTTTGAACCAAAAGTTGGTTGAAAATTGTCACTTGCAAACTTTCCCTCGTGGAGAGCAAACAAAATATAATCAGGAGTCATCATTACTCACGGTGAGTATCCTGTTATGTATGTTCGCAAATGCATGTGTTAGATTTGGCGACACACTATTTAGAGTTCAGGGAATTTTTTCAAAATTTTCTAAACTATTTTTTTTTGCGTTCCTAACTTTGACCACCGGTCATTGGGTCATTTCAAATGATTCGGAAGTTGATGATTCATTTTAACGAAAAAAAAAGTTAAATTTTTTCTGGCCAAACGTAGGTAGTGGATCAATCGATTATAGAACCAGAGCAGATACTTATGAAACTAAAGAATTTTTCAAATAGAAAACAGGGGTTATTTTTTGAAAAACTTCTTCTCAATCCTCTAGAAATAGAGTGAAATTAACAAGTAGAAATTAGATAGGTTAGGTAGAGGTTTTTTTTTTAATGTTTTCTGTTTCACACCAAAGAATAAAGGTTTATTTTATTTGCAATCTTAGATTTATGAATGATAATATGCAATTTCAGCGGATATAATGCAACTGACTGATTAGAAACAAAAAATTTATGATATTTCCGTTAGAATTTTAGTTAAAGTTGATTAGATAATAACATTTTGTTCATATGTCTTTGACTTTTGGAGAAAGAATAAATAAATGAGTTAAAATGTTGTAGTTTTCTTATTCTTAACTCGATTTTTATAGCCTTAGAAATTTTTTTAAAACATTTTTACTGGTCAATCTTACTCTGTGAGGCTGTAACATTAGTTTATTTCAGTTTTTAGATCGGTGGTCAAAGTTACCTTCCCAGGTCGTAACTTTGACCACCAACAATTTTTTTTTTTAAAAACCGGTCTGTGTTGATGGAACCAAAAATATTATTTCATGTCTCTATAATATCAGGTACAGCCCCAATATTGGCACTTTTGTTTGATTTTTGTCGCCTTCGAGTAATGCAATATTGCAGTGTAAAGTTGAAAACCGATCAAAGTTATGTCACTTCACGGTACTTAATGAATAATGATAAGGAAATGATAATAAAAGTTAATATTTGACTCTGATAATAATTAATTAATTAACTTATGCCCGATTGCACCGTATCTCTTAACTGAGGCTTAACGATAACTATCCCTCAAATTGACAGTTTTGCATGGGAAAATGTCACTTCAAGGAATAGTTATCCTTAAGCCTGGGTTAAAAGAGACGGTGCAATCGGACATTAATAATTAATTTTAAACGGTAGTTAGCTATTCTAGCTAAAAACTACTATACAGTAAACAATTAGGTCGGTAATTGAATTTACAAAGATATTAATTAGCTAATGAAGCTAATCGATAGGGGGCGATAAACAAAAAGTTGAAGAAAGTCACGGTAATTAAGATTTATAAAGATATTAATTAGCTTATAAGGCTAATCGATAGGCGGCGATAAAGAAAAGGTAAAAATAAGATACGATAATTAAGATGGCATGTGTAAGACACCCATAGGTAAGTAATCATACAAGCCTGGACGAAACCCTTGTAAAGCCTCGGAAGTTTTCACAAATTTGAGCTCTGGAGGTACCAAGCTGGCTGGAGACAACCAAATAATGGTTGGGGATCAACTTCTTACAGGACACCAACATTTCTTGGAAAGGGGGCCCAGATTTACTCTGAGATGCAGGACAGCATGGTCTCAAATTTGTCAATTTTCACCTGGATGAGTGCAGTCACGGATTTTTCGTCCTGCCCAAAGTTGCCTGAACGGCCAATAGTAACCTCATTTTCCAAAATCTTCACAAAAATCAATAATTTCCAGGAAACTTTCTAGTAGACACGATCAAGCACTCTTCTGGCTAGTCAATCTACAAAACTATGGGCTCGATGGCCAAAAATAAAGGCAGAGATTTAAGATTTTTAAGATTAAAAATCTGGACGACCGTTTCGGTCCCAAGACAAAAGAGAAAAAAGCAAGTCAAAAGTACCCAAATTGGTTCTGTCCTTTCTTTCTTCGTCTGTCAAGCTAGTCGAAATTATAAAAATGATAGCGCTACAGGTTTCTCGGAAGTAATAGAATTCTCGACTCAATGATATTAGGTTAGGAAGACTAGTCAGAAGAATCATAGATGTCGCTAGGTGTACGAAATGAGTCCAAAATCTATAAAAATAATTGAGAACAATAAATATATTCTTGTGACATTTCAAATGTTACAAAAGATCACTGTTTGGAATCTGGATGAGCTGGAGTGACGTCACCCCAGCAATCCATCCTCTTTCCTGAATACAGAAATCAATCCGAAGAGCTCCAGTTCGCAAAAGTGAAACCCCAACATCCATTGAAGATCTCCGGATTGGAAAGGTACATTGTATCAGATTCACCGGAACAACCAAGCTGTCAACTATCAAATTTTAAAGAAAGTAACATCAACTCTTACTATATTGTTAACAAAATAAAATTATTGTTTGTTGGATTTTGAGTGGTTTTATTTGCACATAAAGGGACTACACGTTATCTTAATTTCTTTGAATTCCACGACCCTAGGTTCCCTTGTCTTAAAGTGCAAATAACCGAGTATTATTTGTAACAACGTAAGAATTCAACTTAGGCTTTTAGAAGAAACTTCCTAATTAAAAACAGTCCTAGAAAAATTCTATTCTGCTTTTGTGATTTATGATACAGGTTCACTGTACATAAAATTGAACTTTCTTGTACCGTCGGGCGTCGAGAAACTCGTTCCAATTGATAAGAAACTTGTGAGCCGACTCTAGCATATAGAGCGCATAGTTGGTAATTCTGAACTTTCGTTTCATCTTGTATTTTTTGCATAGCACCCACATTGTGTGTGAGAATTTAAACTGCCCTTTGTTTCTAACAATTTTTTTATTTATGTAGTATGTATGTATATGCAATAATATTATTGTGATGCGATTTGTATAGTTTAAAAACTTTTGTTCTTATTTATTTTCTCTGTCTGGCTCCTTTAGGCCTGCCGCCCAAAAATAACAGCTAAATTAAACATCATTCCAATATGATCCTGAAATAAACAAATTGAGGAAAACAAAAAAGTAAGTAAAAAAAAAACTTCAAAAGTAGAAAGTATAATTAGAACATTTTATTGAACAGAATTCAAATTCTAAAGAATTATTTTGTTATGACCTGTTAAAACCGAGAACGAATTTCCTGTTCTATTCTCCAAAATTCTCGTTCTTCAGCAAATTCTTTTAGAGTATTTTCGTGCAGCTCGCTGCAGGAAGGCAAATCCCCACCATAGTCTTCTGGCCAGCAATTTTTGGGCATCAAAGAAAAAAGTTCTTCTTGGGCTAAATCTGGAGGATGGAGCTGCAACTGAAAATATCTCAAATTAGAAAACTTCAGAAAAGTGATAATATATGAGTTAATTTTGCATGTAAAAAGCATGCAATGGGTAAATTAAAGCAATTGTTACCATTTCTATAAGTTCCTTTTTCATAAACACCTTAATTATGCACATAATTTTATCAAAAAAGTACACAGTGTTTATAATATGAATTCCTTTCAATTGTATCGGAAGAGCTTCTTGGAGGAATTCAAAGTATTTCCTTATGATGTCAAGTTTTAGTCTTGTAAGGTGCATTAAACCGATCTGAAATCAAATAATTTTAAAAAATTAAACTCAAAGAAATGCATTTTTTTCTTTTCTGATAGAAAATTAGCAAAAAAGCGGCTCAATAGTTATATCATATGGTGATAATACTTAGTTCAATACGTGAATTGAGTCTTCTTGTAGTTAATACCATCAATATAAAGCTTAGCATTATAGTTAAATGAAGTGAAATTTAAGATAAACGTTAACAGTTCAGTATTTTTTACCCCATTCATGTCGAAAACAATGACAAGTCCATTTGGTACATTACTACTATTAATCGAAAGATCCACCAGCATATAGCAGAGTTTCATTATAGGGCCCAAATCAAACGCCCTGTAAGATGGATCCTTTATATTCAAATAATGAATAGCATAATTTTCTTCGGTTCGTACTGGCATATTACTAACAGTTCTAAAAATTTCATTAAGCAGATTATCTTATATTTATTTATTATTATTATTAAAGAGGCAAATCCTTACACAGTATTCAAAGCTTTTGCAATATCCTCCCTCTCAAAATCTCGTTCATTAAAAAGTTCCGGTGCATCTTTTTTGCATTTGTAATACATAGTGATAGTGTGCTGTGTTAATTTAATATCATTATCACATGATATTAAAAATATCACTATCATTTCGTCTTGAACTGCTGGAATGGAATGATCCGGCAAATCCGACAGCCATGTCTTGATAATGTCTAGATTTTCTTGTGTGGTTCTGCCTTGTTCTATTATTTCTTTTGCAGTGAAGCGAAATGGAAGCTGGGACATGTTTGTCATTGAGCACTAAAAATAAGGTTCGTGTATAATTTTGTTGCTGCTGTTAATATTAAACTATTGGTATTACTACCCTAACGACGCGTTGAATGGTTATTTGCTAACAAGTATATAGTTCTTATTTGCTAAACTAGCCCACATTTGTACACATTAGGGCAGAGCGCATGTAGGTATAGGTTTTTTATGTTATATTTAAGATGACGTCATCGAACAAGGACAGAAAATATTGTCAATGCCTATTTTTTTCTTATAATTCATCAGAATGTCATGTGTCAATAATTCTGACGATAGCTAAAAATAATGAAATGGAAATGTTTATACAAGTCATGCAACGTCGCACGCCGTTGCCAACCAAAAACATCTGAAATTCCCCTACTTTAAATGCGTTAAAAAGTACTTTTAGTTTTGTTAGGTTGGCAGCAGAAATTTACTAAATGTGACGTCATCCTAAGTATAGCGTAAAAATCCTATAGTGTAAAACATATTTCATAAAACATACGTATTATGTATGTTCTTTACGTTTCGCGTGATTAAATAGAAAATTCTATTCGAGCTAGACGCTGAGTTTTTCTAGATAAATCCCGAGTAGGTACAATGTCGGAATAAGAGCTTATAAAGTCAATTTATTCAGTAAACGTTTTTACTGTTTGTAAAGTGAATTTAAGTGGACCCGGAATCCGTGACACTGACAACAAGTTCAACCCAGCCATAGAAATCCTGATACAAAAATCGTATCATTCCAGGTTCAGAGATAATGAATGCTGTTAAGCTGGACAAAAGAGACATTTCCAAAGCAATTTTGGCATACAATAAGGTCTCACTTACCATCGAAAGACCAGTTTTCAATATAAAATCTGATAAGTCATCCCTTATTGACATATGTTGGAAAAAAAAAAAAACAAAAACAACAACAAATCCCAATCGCCAAAAATTTTGAAAAAAAAGCTGAATATATTATAAGAAAAACGAATGAGCAAAAGTTGATCATTAAGGTACGTTTCCTATGAAGTGACTGACGCACGCGGCTGACGATCTTTGTCCGACGCATATGGTTGACGCAAGTTCAGTGTGTTCCCTCGTTTTTTCTCGCACGTCCGTCGTGTGCGATAAATTAGCCTGGGTGATAGAAACGATATTATATATTATTGTACAGGGTGTTTCAAATTCGAGCAACATCATTGGGATCTCGGAGACGGTGAGAGATACAGGGTTGGTTAAATTGGGGCAAAGTTGCGTAATTTGATGCTTAACAAAATGCCGCTTTGATATTTAGAATATTCCGAATACTTCCGGAGATATTAGGAAAAAACCAAAATTTTGTAAAATTGCTTTTATTTTTTCTTGACTTTATTTGAAGAGATATTTAAAAGAAAATGTCACTTCATCATAGCCACTTTTTTTCCCCTACAGGATGCTAGCATCAAATTTAAAATCTGACGTTTCCTATTTGGGCCACAATCGAATTAGGCGATTCCAAGTTAAACGCGATGCGTAGTGTGGAATATTTACAATAGACAAGTTTGACATACCGTTTGCTTGTATAGTGTTCACAATTTGCAGAGGAGGCAACAGCGCGATCGAATAAAAATAAAATTGACAGTACACAGCGACAAGTCAGCTGTAAAAAGAGCGGTACTGAGAGCGCGGACGAGTAAAAAACTGCGAGAAACCGCCATTATGTTTCTCTCGCTGGCTAAAAAAGCATGCCCCAGTTGGTGTATATTAAATAATTTGTTCTCTTGGTGATACAAAACAAGAATATTTGAGTTTCGCAAAAATTTTCGGATGGGTTGTTACGATAAATTTATCATTTACGTAACATGTTCCACCTCTTCTTATTTCCATTATAAAGTAGTATTTTTTCCATTTCAGAATCAGCCAAATAATATCCACAAAGTTCAAATTCAAATAATACAAGTGCCGCCATCTATCCATCATGTCCGTAAAATGCAAATATCATACAGTACTGCCATCTAGTATCCGATGGATTTATTTTTCAAAGTATGATTTTATTTATGTCACATTTGACTGTCATTTGTATTTTCATTGAAAGAAATTATATTTATCTCACTTTTAGCAAATGGATATATTTCTGTCCTGTTCTAACTTCTGATTCTGAAATAATAATTTTTTGGTTTAATGACCTATTTAAGTAACAGTTTTTTATTTTTGACATAACCCTAATTTGAGTTATTGTAGTTTGTAAACAATTGAAGTGGTTCTGGTAGATTTTTGTCCATTCTCTTTTATTCCATGCGGTCTTTCATTGTGTTTTCATTTTGAAGTGAATAGGGTCTTTTGGGTGTACTCGTCTGATTGGTTGAAGCTGGTTGGAATGCAGTTAAGTATAAAAAACACAGGATCGTTTTCCTGCGGGCTTTGGTTTCTAAAACGTCCTCTTTCCTTGACGGACAGTCTGGCAGGCAATTCATCTTTATTTTTTTTTTTGAATAATTTTCGCTTTGAATTTCTGGATCCTCCCTTATAGATTTTTCAATATATTTTACTATCAATTCATATTATCGTATCATTATTAAGTTTTACCTGATAAATCTTATCTTATCTGAATCTTGAAATATAAAAATCATATTTTAGGTTTTTTTATATAATTGTTGGCTTCCATTTTGTGTCAGTGTCGATTCGTACTGCCACGTTTCGTTTAAGAGGTAAGTCAACACAGATTTTTGGATTTTAAATAGGTACTGCTGCTCTGGTTTTCAGAATCAATTGTTAGTGTGGGAATATTGGACCATTTGCTCTAGATAGAGTCGGTGAGAACCAAATTTGTGAGTCCATCTCTATAAACTCTTTATTGGATCCAGGCAGAGGCCTGAACAGCCATTTTCTGTTTGACTCCCTAAATTATTATCTCAACAAAAGGGTGTAATTTTTTAATAGAAATCCAGACAGGTCAAAAAATTCAATTAAAACGTTTTATTTAAAACATGTCAAGAATTTGGACATATTCTGGATATGATTGATTTCACCGTCAGGTTTATCTAGTGGTATCTATTGTGGCTACCTTATTTTAAAAGGAAAATTTTGTCTATTTAGGGGAGAATTTGAGGATTTAATTTCTTATTGTTTTACGTACCTTATTTTTGCTCATATTTTTGCCTGCCAGAACCGCTGTCAGGAAAGCAGCATTTTGCTCAATTATCACGAGCATTTTAATTTAATCTTAATTATTTAATTTTTTTTTTATATTAAAATATATATTTTTTTTTTCAACTTGCAATAACTGTTCATACCTGATTCTGTTGGAAGGGAGTGTCTGTACAGGGTGGTCCAAATTGGACACTTTCTTATGGAAACACCCTTTATTTTTAGAGATAGGAAAAAATGGACCTAGGTGTCTGGAGCTCAAATTTAATGAGCAAATCAATGGCGGAAACAAAATTCTGCTATCTCTAATCGTTTAGCCGCTACAGGGCGTTTCTCGAATTTTGTCGATTTCTTCAATGCCCCATAACTTTCTTATTATTGAAGATAATTGATTACGGTAAAATATTTCTTAGGGCACTTTTTTATGTAGAATTCATTGCGATAAATAGTTTTTATACAGGGTGTTTGGTTTTTTTTATACGACGGCAAACTCAGTTTTTTCATACGGACCACCCTATATATTTTGATGTTTTTGAAAAAAGCGTAAAATTTCCTGAATTTTGATATATGACTTGTTATATTTATGTTAAATATTATATATACAGGGTGCAGTCCGTTTTTTGAGATCGACCATTAGGATCTCGGAAACGGTGAGAAATACAGGGTCGGTTAAATTAGGACAAAGATGCGCAATTTTATGGTCAATAAAATGCCGTTTTAAAATTTGATAAATTCCAAATGCTTCGGGACATATTCGGAAAAAAATGGAATTTTCCAAAATTGGTTTTATTTTTTTCTGACTTTATTTGGAGTGGTAGGTATTAAAAAACAAATGTCACTTTATCATTGCTACTTCTCTTCCGTAGAAAAGGGCGTTGTCAAATTTGAAATCATACGTTTCGTCTTCGAGCACCCATCATCAACTATTTTTTTTGATACGGAGCTAGATAAAAAACTCACGTGAATTAAATGAACAAATCTAAACGAATAACAAATATAATGAATAACATAAAAAAGTAACTAAAAACAATCTATGTTAATAAATGTTCAAATTGTCTCCCATTTTGTTCTAAATAGATTCTACACCTTTTCCTTATTGCATTTGCAGCATTTATCAATAGGGTCGTTACCTCCTATCATTAAAATTATACTGACCATTATTTATCGATATAGTGAGGCCTAAAACTTAGCCATGTCATATTGGTTGCTTTGAAAATTGTTTCCTGGTTTATTTAAATTAATTTAAAATTTAAACATTTTTTGTCCTTGTCGAATTGTTGGTCTCTTTCTCCCATGACGTCACTAGGCGGGCATGCGCAAAGCAGTTGTAAACAAATCCATCAACATATGCAATTTTGTGAGGTTATGTTGTTTTGTTATTATTATGGAATGTCGTTGACCGTTGTTATATTTTCATTATTTTTCGAGTTTTTCAACGGTTTTTCCGAGGTTTCAAGAAAAATATTTAAAAGAAACGTGTTATAAATTCAAGGTAAGTCATTGTTTCTCATTATTTGATGTTATTAAGGTCTCAAATAGAGCATGCATTTCAGTTTCAGTGTACCCACCTAAGTCCTACCTACTGTTGACTATTTGGCTATGAATTTTCGTAAATGTTTTGTGCCTTCTTGTAAAAACAGTAATCTAAATTCGAAGAAAATCTTTATAGCTGTCCCCAAAAAAATGAACAAAAAGAAGAAGTTGGTTTTTAGCTTTGGAAAGAGTTAATGTATTGTCTAGTACTTTTGGTGGAATTTATTGCTGCGAAGATCATTTCAATGTAAGTAAACTTAGTTGCCAAATTTCATTTTATAAACACCTATTTTCTGTTTTACATTATTTCAAAAATATGAACATTATATTATGTTTATAGATGGAACAAGATTATGATAACTAGATGCAGT